GTTGGCACCTGTCGCTGCATCCCCGGAGTCAGTGTCTGAGCAAGGACCCGTGTATTAACTTCAGAAGAGCCACAGGTTGGCCACCCCTGCTCTAACATGTAGCATCACGTGGATGCCATCCATGAAGGTGCAATACATTGTGTCTTTCATATCTGGTGTGCCACTAACGGCCTCCAGTAGATTGTGGCCCTGCTCCCGAGAGCTGATCTGTACCAGGAGCCCACCTGTACCTGATCAATTTCATATCGACTTAGAGCAGGCATCACAACCTATGTGATGTGCACATTCGACTACAGGATCAGGGTCTATGTAATTAGCATATACTGATCTCATCATCTCATGGGCTTTGTCTACACTGCAAGGTTTTTGCACAAGAAGCTTTTTACGGAAGAGATCTTCTGCAAAAATGTCTTGTGCAAAAGCACGTCCACACATTGCAAAAGTGATACGCTTTTGTGCAAGAGAGCAAGAAACCGCTGTAGAGTGTCCACACACACCTTTTGGTGCAAGAGCAGTAGCGCAAAAAGGAGTTTTTCCTTGTGGGGAGAGGAATAACTCTACCAGCAAAAGCCCTCTGTCCTGTCAATTTACTAATTTTTTTTTTTTGCGCAAAAACACGCTTGAGGTGTGGACGCTCCGCAGGTTGACCGTTTTTGCGCAAAACCCCTGTAGTGTAAACATAGCCATGATTAATCTTCCCTGTATCCATTTTAAAAAACAAAACAGATGTTTAAAGATTAAAACAATAGGGTTATGTCTACACTTGCGGCTTCTTGCGCGAGTAATAGGCAAATGAGGCTAAGCGTGGAATATCGCTGAGCCTCATTTGCATACCTAATGAGCCACCATTTTTTTCAGAAGAGGCTCTTGTGCAAGAAGGAGTGTCTACACTGCCCCTTCTTGCGCAAGAAAAACCCTCTTGCGCAATGCCGTTACACCTATTACTTTTCAGGAAGAATGGCATTGCACAAGAGGGTTTTTCTTGCACAAGAAGGGGCAGTGTAGATGCTCCTTCTTGCACAAGAGCCTCATCTGAAAAAAATGGTGGCTCATTAGGTATGCAAATGAGGCTCGGCAATATTCCACACTTAGCCTCATTTGCCTATTACTCGCGCAAGAAGCCACGAGTGTAGACAGCCTAGATGTGTGTGCGGGAACCCTTTTATCACAAGGCTGGGAAGGGTGGCTGCTGTACAGACTTCAATGATTTATCCATTTCCTTGGATTTTTATACCCTTTTTTAAATGACGGCTTTTTAAAAGGTGAACCCGCACCCCTCACTTTACAGAAATAACACCCGTTCACAGATTAATTCAGCTTGTTGCCAGATGTCTTTCTAAACCGAATGAAACCCTTCGGATGAGACAAAAACTACAGCAGGCAACCAAACATGTATTTGATGCCTGGCCCAGTGGGAGTAGTGTGCCCAGACCAGAAGAACCTGAGCTTTTTGTTCAGACTCCATTTGTTTTGAGTATGTGGCTCATTGCACAGAAGTGGGAACTACCCCATCCCACAGATAATAACAACGCACCTTGCAAACGGAAGTTTGCTGTGTTATTGAGAATATGAATTCACAATCCAGCGTGCACCCTTCCAAACACACAAAGCTCTTCAGCCACAGTCTGTTTGCTTCCTATAGAGCCATCAGAACCCTAACCCCTCATGCTACAGATTCAGCAGAATCCCAGAAATCGCTTTATGCACAGACCCCATGGCAGTGACGCCTGCAGAAACTGACCGGAATCCAGCAAATCACTCTCCGCTAGACCCAGTGGAATCTTAGGATCACAAACTGCATCCAGTGATGACCACTATCGTTTGATCCTGTGGGATCAGAGTGAGCCCTCCGACAGAGATCCAGTGGCTGTAAAGGCAATGACCTTCCACTGATTCTGTGTATTTCCCAGGGAGCATTAGCCCTGAGAAACTGAGCCACCAACTAATCCCCATTAAATCTGAATCTGGAGAGTGGGGTTGTACTTATCACACAGGGAGCCTTCCCTGGAGTTGATTGTGCGCAGGAGAGGGGGTGTATGGTTTTTAGTGTCTTATGCCTGTTATTCCAAGGCTGGATGGTGTCCAGTGTATATATTTTATTCATGCTTTTGTGCACTGTCATGAAGTGTGTTAGGCATTATGAAGGTGCAACAGCATTTCCCAGGTTAAATCTACTCAAACATTTGCACTCAAAGCCCTGATTAGATCTCTCTGGTGTATGAATAACACAGTGTCTCCTCCCTAGATACGCAGCCCTCCTGTGGAACAAAAAGCAAGTTGCTGAAAATGTGCAAGTGAATTCTTAATCTGGGATGAGTGTTTCCAGTTCACAAGAGGAAAACGGGGCAGAGAAGTGGAGAAAGGACACAGGCTGGGAGGGCTGGGAGACGGGCTGAGGTCCAGGAGACTGAGCTGGCTGGGAGGAAGGGGAAATGATGCAAGCTGCTCTGTTTAACACTTCCCACTGTGGGCAGCGAATGTGCTAGCACTTATGCTCCTGTTTCTAAAGCTGGTCGGTGCCCTCGGGGTTGCTGCTGCAAGTGAAAAGCTCAGAGCGGCAGCCACTGGAACCGAGCATCTTCCTTAGAAGGCTTTCTCCATGGGGTGTGCAATATTTTGGCTCCATATCTCTCCTCTCTAATTACTGCCCTCCGCTCCTAATCACTCACACTGTGGGGCCCAGCTCCAGCATATACTCTGGGGTTTTTTGTTTGCAAAAGACAAGAAAATTCCCATTCCCTAAAACAAACCTTTTATTTAGAGTCAAGGTTCCTTAACTGCATTTCCTCAGAACAAGCTAAAAAGTAAAGTTCCTGTTACCTAGACCTGGGTTCTAGTCCCAGCTCTGCCACTGATCTGCTGCATGACCTTGGGCAAGTCACTGCCACGTCAGGCCTCAGTCCCCATCACCCTTCATCTATTTTGTCTAGTTAGATTATAAGCTCTTCAGGCAGGAACCGTCTCTCACAGTGTCCATCTCCGTCCCCTTATACGGCAGGGTCCAAACCTCAGATATGGCTTCTAGGTGCTACTGTAATATAAACAACTAGCACATTTACCCAGCTTTGCTTGGGTCCTTAACTCAATTAAGGGGGCTTTTTTTAGAAAATAAAAGGAAAATGTCCATGCTTTATTGAAATGACTGTATTTTTCCAAAAATACAGTGTTATTTTTAGGAAGTCAATATTTATTTTATATTTCTTAAAAAAAGGGTTTGTTAATATTTTTCCATTTAATTGTTTTTAATTATTTTTTAAATGGGAACTCCATTCAAGTGTATTTTTTCTTCATGCCTATAAACTCGTATCATTTGCTATATCATTTGCTAAATGGGCTTAAGTCAATGTGGTATGAAATAATGTTTTCTTCTAGCTTTCAAACTTTAAGCATTGATTTAGCTGTGCCAAAACAGAACACTACTCCAAATGTCTCCATTTGATCTCTTTTCTGATTGAGAAGCAATCCATTGCAGGTTCATCCTATTTTTCTGGCTCATCTTGGTTCAGTCCAGGGCCAAAGTAACTTAAATTTATTCAGGTACTGTTGTATTGCAACCCTCTCCCCGCACCCTCCTGGTTGGTCCTCAAGACAGGAGGTTGCAGGGGGAAATGTGTTGTGAGACAACAGGATGTGTAAGAAATGTAAGTGTGGGGGTGGAGTGCCCGTTAGGCCTTTAGTCCCTTAGGGAGGGATAAAGGCAGGGTTGGGAATGTGGAGGATATAAGGTAGGGCAGGGAATGTGGGGGGCTCAGGGCAGGGGGTTAGGGGTGCGGGAGCTGCAGGAGTCAGGGTTGTTGGGGTAAGAAGGGATTCAGAGTAGGGGACTGGGTGTTTGTTGGGGGGAAGGGAGGAGGAGCCACCACCTGTCCCCCAAGATTCGTACCAGGGCTGCTTGCTCTTCTCCTTCCTGTCCCTCTCAGGGAGTGAGCCCCTTTCACCTCAGCCAGCCTCTTTCACCCGCCTAACGATTTTGTCTCTTTTCTGTATGGTTTTATGAGCAATCCCTTTCCAGGCATATCCCATTTTCCTGGCACAACTGAACACTTATGTTGCTTTAAGTTATGACAAGAGGAAGCTGCCTACCAAATTTGGTGGTCGTACCTCTTACAATTTAGGAGGAGTGTTTGAACAAACAGACAGAATGACAGACAAACTCCCTAATGTATATAGTAGATAATAGGAACCATGCCCAATACAAGATCAACTTTCAAGCACCGGTATATCACCACCATTGCATCTAGCACGCCTGTTTTCACTTAAACACTCTCAGGATATGTCTACACTTGCACCCTCTTTCGAGAGAGGGATGCAAATGAAGACATTCGAAATTGCAAAGGAAGCCAGGATTTAAATATCCCGTGCTTCATTTGCATATTCATGTTATGGCGCTATTTCAAAATAGCGCTATTTCGAAATAACAGACACCGTTACGACGTGGTTATTTTGAGAGAACACCCTTCTCTCGAAATAACTGGTAAACGTCATTGTATGAGGAATAAGGGTTGTGCTGAAAGCCGAGGTGTAAGGCAGGTTGTTAATGCACAGTAGAGTATCATGAAAGAAGTGGGCTAAGGCCGGGAAAAGGAGCTGAGTCCTGGGTTTGGCAGGAATGTTACTTTAATTAATGAATTGTTTTAGCGTAAGAGCTAGAGGAAACAATACAGCTGAGCAACCTTAAGTCTCAGGGCTTGTCTGCAGGGGAGTTTACAGCATGGCACACCATGGTGTGAATCGGGTTGAGCAGCAGCACGTGGATGGACATTGCTACCGCACACAACGGTGCTCTGTTCCATTTCAAACAGCCGTCAGTCCAAGTGCGCGTGGCACTTTCAGAGCATTGTAGCAGGGTTCACATGGGATGTTACTGTGCAGCCAGCTCATATGCTGTAGTGTAGAGTCACAATCTGGGTGGCCGGCACTCAAGTCACATTCAAACAAGCCCTAGGCCAACTACATTTTTGAGGAACCCAGTATGGTGGCTGCATTCAAGAATGACTTACCTGCACAATTAGCTTATTATCTTTACTGGGTAGAATCCTGTAGGTGTAAACGCAATTGTGGAACCTGGAACAGATTGGAGGAAAGGCTGTTAGAACAAGTTTATGGGGAATCTTATCATAGCAACATTCCCTAGCAACAAAAATGGAACAGAGGACCCTAATACAGACTGATGACTTAGTAAGAACATAACACTGGCCATATTGGGTCAGACCATCTAGCTCAGTATCAGCTCTTCCCACAGCAGCCAGTGACAGATGCTTACAAGGGAAGAAACCGAACAGGACAATTACTGAGTGATCCATTCTCTGTCCTCAACTCCCTGGCAGCCAGAGATTTAGGGATACCCAGAGCAACTTGGCAAAGAACCATTGATGGACCCTATCCCCTCTATGGGCTTATCTAGTTCTTTTTTGAACCCAGTTATATTTGTAGCCTTCACAACATCCTGTGGCAATGAGTTCCACAGATTGTACAATGGGTGAAGAAGTACTGCCTTTTGTTTATTTGAAACCTTCTACCGGTTAATTTCAATGGAAGATCCCCGGTTCTTGTGTAATATGAAGAGATAAATAACACATCCCTAGTCACTTTCTCCACAGCAGTCATGATTTTATAGACCTCTATCAAATCCCCCATCGGTCGTCTCTTTTCTAAACTGAACAGCTCCCCCCCCCCCTTTTTTTAAAGCTCTCCTCACGTGGAAGCTGTTCCATACCCCTACACATTTTGTTACCCTTCTCTGTACCTTTTCAAATTCTAATATCTCTTTTTTGAGACAGGAAGATCAGACTTCATGCAGTATTCAACGTGTCGGAGTACCATGATTTATATAATTGCATTATGATACTTTTTCTTTATTTCCTAATGGTGCCTAACATCATTAGCATTTTTGCCTGCCAGTGCATGTTGAGCAGTTTTCAGAGTAGTATCCGTGATGACTCCAAGATCTCTTTTCTGAGAGGAAACAGCTAATTTAGACCCCATCATTTTATGTAATCCTAGAATCTTAGAAAACTAGAACTGGAAGGGACCTCGAGAGGTCAGCATGTCCAGTCCCCTGCCCTCACGGCAGGACCAAGCACTGACTAGATCATCCCTGACAGATGTCTTTATATGTATGGTTGGGATTCTGTTTTCTATTGTGCATTACTTTGCACAAGTGTTTCAAATATCTGATCATTTCCAGAGGATTTATTAGCATAATCCTACAGTGCTCTCTTCAGCATGTTGCAGATGTCACCTCAAAAAGCGATGGTAAACTCATCTGCAGAGCGATAACTCCCCTGCTAGTTAGAAAAAAAGAAAACAGCAACTTGTTCTGGCTGTCAGAAGAGTGGGCAAACCAGGAAGGAATGGAAATGTGGAAATCCCAGACACTAGGCTAAATTCAGAGTTCAATGAGTAAATCAAAGGGTTGGCCTACACACAATCTTGCATTAAGACAACGAAATCATTGATTTAAATTAAATTGCAATAGGATATTTTTATTTTGAAGTGTCCCTACAGAGACCTGGCCTGAAATAACAATGGCTGTGAATTGAAACCCACTTATGCCACGTCTATATTTACCCGGAAGGTCAAAGAAAGATATTCAACTACAGCTAAGTCAATTGCCTATCTGGAATCGAGGTATCTTAATTCAATCTTTTCCTCCAGCTTCAGAGCAGGAGGTTGATGGGAACAAATGCTTTCGTCAACTTCCCTTACTCCTTGTGAAACAAGAAGTACCAGAGTCAACAGGGGCATCTTCCCACATTCGATTCAGCAGGTCTTTACTAAACCCACTAAATCAAATGCCAGAAGATTAACTGCCACAGCCGCAATCTGCTCACTAGTACAGATGTAGCCTTAGTTATTTTAGTGCAAGCAGACCAGCTATAAACCACACTTTCTTCTACCACCTCCCTAGCCTGGACAGTAAATCAAATTAGCCTTCCCCTGATTTTGCCTCACTCTGTGGCCTAAACTCATTCGTACCACATAGATGAGAACAGCACCTGACCCCTTTTTAAAGCAGGTGCCCAGTCTTTGTCCAACAAGAGGTTCATCAACAGCTTGTCAAGAGCTAGAAGTAAAACCTAATGGCAGAGTCATGTGGAATGTACCACCTTCCTCACCAGCTGTTGAGTTTTGCTGAGCTCCCATAATGCTTGGTGGGCTGCTCCCAGCACGGAGGAGAAATACATGCTTATTTACTTGCCAGTGGTTACAGATGTGATCCAACAGCACCTGCACAGCGCTGCATTAAACACACTCCACAAACTGGCCCTGTGCCAACCAAGGGTGCAGATTTCAACCCCATTTCCCTCAAAAACTAATCTCAGCCCCATTGTTGTATCCTTGGGTCAAAACCAATAAGGCTGCCCCTGCCGGATTTATGCACAAGCTGAGGGTGTGTCTACGCAGTAGGCCTTAACTTGAAATTAGCTACACAAATTGAGCTACGTCAATTGCGTATCGTATTTTGAAATAGCTTATTCTGAAATAGGGAGCATCTACACAGCACTTATTTCAAAATAAAACCCTCTTCCTCTGACTTCCCTTACTCCTTGTACAATGAGGGTTACAGGAGTTGGAGTAAGAAGTCCTCCAGCTTGACAGTATTTTGACACTACTTTGAAATAACTGCCTGCTGTGTAGACATGGACTAAGTTATTTCAGAATAGCGCTAGTTATTTTGAAATAGTCTTGCAGTGTAGACGTACCCTTTGTAAGCTCCAGTTCAGGGCCTCAGATTATAAGGGGCCTCTAGATACAAACAAATTACTAAACGTCATTTTTTTTGGTAATGCTATGGGGCCTCTAAAACTTGACATAGCTGAGGACCTCTGCATGTCCTAGTCCAGCCCTGTTTGCAGCACGTCCCTGAAGGGTCAGGACAGATGAGCAGTGGACCGCCTTCCAGAGGAGGACTGGCTGATGCATACAAATGTACTAGACTCCTTTGTGATTCGGGTTATATGTTTCTTCAAACTAGGCTTTTCTGAATCCCAGCAAGAGTGAGTGAGCGAGCAAGATTTCCTAGGTGTTATACTGCCTTGCATTTGGAGTCGGACTGAGCATAAAGCCAAGTTCCTTGTACATTGGGGTGAGATTTTCAATGCTGGCTACAGGAGTTAGCCACAGCGCTCCCTCTGAACCTGGGCTCTTTTAAGCAAGATGGAGCTGGATCGCCCTTCAGAGCCCAGCCCAACAGGTCTGGGGGCTCGTTGCAGAGTGATCTGAGGAGTTCACGCCCCTACCCGCATCTCCACGGAGCTCCCAGACCCAGCCGGGGCAGTTCCCCAGCTGATGTCAGTGCTCCTTGAATGTCAACGGAGTGATGACAGTTGACACGGGCTGGGGATCTCCCCCCCCAGGAGTGGAATTTGGTTTTGTTGTTATCTGACAGTGCGGAACTCTGCCACCACTTCCTCCTGAGATATGCAAAAAGGGGCTGAGGAGAGAACAGCGCTGTTTATGTCGCTGATGACAGAAAATTTGTGTGTGTGGAGATTATGAAACTGATAAACAAACCAGCTCAATGACTATCAGGCCATCAAAGCGCATTGGGCACACAATCAGAAGGCAGGCACCCGCAGCCAGAGGCTGTTGAGAAAGGGTGTTTAGAGATAGTTAACCAGAGGAACATCTACAGGGGAAGCTAACAAAGAGCTATCAGGGGATATATGAACAGTATAAGCAAAAGTGGTTCTCCCTGTGGGAATCGACCTTAGCAATCTCGTGACTGCCAGGGGAATGCCAGGAATCAAACAGTTGACTGGTATCTGCCATTTAGCTGCCTTGCTTTCTTATTAGACCGTCATCACTCTTAAGCTCTTAGCTCCTCAGCACTGGGACTGCGCCACAGCTTGGTCCCAGTTACTTTCATTTGTCACCTCCAAAGGTTCTCCATGAGGTGTTTCTTAGCACAGCCACTGCTGATCTTGGCCGTATTGATGGTATATGCAGCACCCATCAAAGCAATTTCCTGAGGCTAAATTTAACCCAACATGCTTCCTCATTTGTCTCTTAGCTCCCTCCCCTGCACCACCTACTGAAGGCAAAAGAGGGAAAGGGGAATGGGTTTTTTTTCCTCTCCTCTTTCAGTGTGGCTCAGGCCTTGTTGCAAATCAGAAGTGCTCTTTATTGTGTACATTATGGTAGCAGCTAGAGGGTCCAATGACATTCAGGACCTTTCTGTGCTAAGCACTGTATAGAAACCCTCTAGGAATTAAGCTGCTACCTGTGGACAGCTCACATGTGATACCCTCAGATACTGGAGAGATTTTCAAGGCGATTACAGCTCTGCTCCCCTTCCTTTGCATCATCACCAAGGACTTTTCATCCAGAGAGCTCCAAGTCACACAGGAAGTCAATATCATTATCTCCATTTTACAGATAGAGAAACTGAGGTACAAAGCTGGAAGGGACCTGCTCAACGTCACCTAGCAAAGCAGTGGCAGACCCAGGAATGGAACCCAGGGATTTCTGGAAAGGGCTTCCAAACTCATGCAGGAGTATTATGTCCCTGGTAACAGGATGCCTCCAAATCCTGTCAGGGCAGGCAGCTGATCTAGGCAACATTTGGGTTCCATTCCGGGTAATGGAACCTTTATTTTTTCTCTTGATAGAAGATAAATGCCACACCTCCATTAATATCTACAGTCCTGCTAGCTCAGCTGTCCCTATTCCTTTAAAAGGTGAATTCACAGGGCAACACCCCATGGATATCTTGTTTACGAGAGGTGCAAAATGCTCCGACACAATCCCTCTCCAACCTTAATTTGTTACATGTTTTAGGCTATTAAGACCTTGCCTGACTCTACAGATATTTTCCGAAGAAGTAGCCATGAGCGAGTTGAAGCAGTGGAAAGTATTTCTATAAATGTTCAGAAGCAACAAAGCTGAACAAAGATCTTCAGTTATTCCTGAGGTGGAGAGGACATCTTCCTCCCAAGGACTTTTCAGCATGGGGAATATGCTGCATGGCGTAGTCTCCAATAAGAGGCCAAAGGAGGTGGCAGCATGAAATGTTCCGAAGAAGTAGCCATGAGCGAGTTGAAGCAGTGGAAAGTATTTCT